ATTTTGGAGGAGGGATTCCAGTGCATACCAGTTTAGGTAAACAATTAAAATGGACTAGAGTGCTCTCACACACAAGTGGAACAAATCCACTTTTTAAAAGAAACTTGAGTTTTGGCAAAAGACAGGAAAATGCATCGAAAAGTGTGGAATGAAGGAAGACTTAACGGGGAAGATGTACAGCATATAACACCCCACAAGCAAATCAGGATGAATGCTTGCTGTTGCATGACCGCCTCACAAGCAAATGCTCAATAAAAGACAAGCATTGTTTAAGCTCCATGCAAGCTTTGGGCAAGAAAGTCAAGATGACTTCTCCTCTGGAGAACCCCTAAGGAAAAGAGTGGGGCTTGTCTGTCTGCCCACTCCTACAACTATGCCAGCCAGGTGCTTAGATCCTAACACAACCTGAGGGAATTTCTTCCAGAAAGCCAAAGAGCGCAAGGGATTCTTTCACACCCAAGTCAACAGAGCGAGAAACCACCGTGCCGATTAGATAAAAATTAAAAGCAGTGACCAGGCAAAAAGGCAAAAGCAAACAGCAAAGCTCTCATAGCAGATGTTAAATTTGGAACCTGACATTTAATCAAATGAAAGGTTGCCAGACACATCTAACAAGACCATTATGCACTGTGTGTTAATAAAGGATTATTAGAAAGTATGTTTACAGGGGCTTAAGCAGCCACGGCTCAAGCAAATGTGCTACATGGTATTAAGTGTGTAACATGGTGGTCAGCTTGCTACCCATTTAATAGCCTTCACCTCCTGCCCACCTGCCTCCAGAAAGGCAAACGGAAGCTTCGAGTACCTAGGATAACGAGCAGCTAAAACTTGCCCATATGAGGCAGTTGTGGGGAATGAAGGTCCACACCTTCCCACAGTTGCCTAAGTCTCCTCCTGCCCTGGGTACTTCTCAAGCAATCTGAGACTCTGTTGCCATACCTGTCTTTGCTCCCCCCTCTTCATACCTCTTCTGGTTCTGGGATACCAGGCAGGAGGGGAGCTGGTCAAAACAGGAGAGGGAGTCTCCCTGGCTTCTTCATCAACCTAACTCATCTTTCCTCTTGGCCCCCCTCTTCTCCAGCCTCTGCTTTTGCCTCCGATTCTGGACTTCTCTCTGCCACAGACTCTTCCTGCTCACTTAAGCCTGTTGCCTCTTCAGCTTCAAACACCTCCTCCTCCCTCTTCTCCCTCTGACCGCTCATCCTCATCCCACCACCAATCCCTTGGGGGGTTCCAGCCAACCCATCACACTAGCTAAGTAACAAGTGATACGTGCAACAAAATGATGCAGCATGAACGTGTTCAGGATGGAAGCTGCCCTATTCTATTCTACTCCCCTTTCCCATACATTCACACCATACATTTAAAGCACCATGCTACAACTTTATGCCTTCCCCCAAAGATTTCTGGGAGCTGTAGTTTACTAAGGGTGCTGAGAGTTGTTGGGAGGCCCCTATCTCTCCCCCCCCCCCCCCGCCAAGCTACAGTTCCAAGAGTACTTTAACAACCAGTCCCTCTTCACAGGGAACTCTGGAAATTATAGACCTGTGAAGGGAACAGATACCTCTCAACAACTCTCAGCACCCTTAACAAACCACAGCTCCCAGAATTCTTTGGTGGAAGCCATGACAGTTTAAACTTTTGTCATAGTGCTTTAAATGGACAGTGTGGATGTGGCCTAGATCAAGGAGTCACAGTGGGAGAAGTGGGGGTTAACCCTTTCCCCCTCGAACACTACTGTTAGGGGCAGGAAGGCAGGTAGGAGGAGTCATTCCAGACACAGAGAGAGAGAGCTAATGGGTAGCTAGAGTAAATACTTTGAGTCATGAAAACTGCAGGGAGGGGGAGAATTAAGTCTTCTCCCCTGATGCCATGGCCCTGATCCAAATCCCCCCATCCACTCCTCCCCTAGCATGGCTTTGCTTTGTTTTTAAGGACGGCTAATATTCTCAGGAAGCCAGATTCCATAAACAGCATATGCATCCATATTTTGAAGTTACAGGAGTCTAAGCACTAGCAAGTCCTAAGGATTAGACTAATTGAAGCCATTAGCAATGTCTGCTGTAATGAGATGTAAAAATAATAAAGCGCTTGAAGCATGGAAAAGGGGAGATTAGTGTCATGCTTTTGGGAATCAAAGAACCTCAGGAAGTAAGCTGGTCTTCTGAGGTGGCTCCTGGTCAAACAAGGAACAGTATGATCAAACCAAAAGCCTAAGCTTACTGATCAAGAGATGTGTCACATTTGAGTGACAGTCCTTGAACTCTTCTCCAGTCTGTGGCTCACTCAGATCAGCCTTCCTTGATGTTTCCGATTATAACCTCCATCAGCCCAAGTCAGCAGAGTTTGTTTCAGCTTGTGAGTTGCTTAGATCACGCTAGTGCACACCATTCTGGCTGGGGTTGGTACATAGGAGCCAACGCCTAGGGGCTGAGGTCCTGCCAATAAAATATTTGAGAGGGGTGGGGGGCAAAGCTGATGGGCATTGCCCTTCAAATGGTGTGCATTCACTGTGTCTTGTAACTGATTATGTGGGGTAGGACTTACCTGCCCCCCCTCTTATATTTTATTCAAGTTGGCACCCCTGGGCTGATGGTACTTGTAGTCCACAGCAACAGGAGAGCACAAGGTTTGCTTAGTTCGAATGTTATTGGACTGCAACTCCAATCAGATGCATAGGATTGCAATGCCAGCCAAAAGCAGCCATGCAGTGGGGCGGGGGGGGAGAGATCTGGGTCATGACTGATGGGACTGGGGGAAGGGAATTAACTCTTCCTTCAAAGTTTTCCTGACTTCAATTCCCTCCCCCACTTTGCAAAGTTGCATGGGTTGTGAAGAGGGACTTGGGATCAGTTGTGTCCCCTAAGGAAAGTGTTTGGGTTCCTAGTAGCTATGATATGGTTACTAGACATCCCCGTTTCCCGGGGAAAGTCTCCGGATATAATGTCCCCGGGTTTCCCTGGAATGTCCCCGGGTTTCATTTAATGTTCCTGGATTTATATTTTAAGTGTTGTAGATTTATTAGTAGGGAATGAATGTTGTGTGATTGGTTCAACGGCACAAGACACATCATACTTGGACTTCCGGTGAGGCTAAATGGCGAGTGCCACAGTAGCAAGCAGCTCCTGAAGCCAGTCAGAACCAACTGCACTACCAGGCTGGCTCCGGGCTGCTGAGGCTGCCGCTGCCACTGCAGAGGGGGAACCAGGGACAACCGGTGCATCAAGTGGGGGAACCGCTGACCCCCCCCCGAACCAAATCGAGCCGGGAGTGAGAGCACCCGGCCGCCTGCCCAGCAGTGCTCCGCAGCCAGGAAAACCCCGGAGCCGATGCAGTGAGAAGGAGAGGAGAAGGAGAAGGAAGACAGAGAAAGAGGAAGGAGTAAAAAGAGGGGAACCCTGACCTTGCCACGCCGCTGCCGCCACTGTGAAGGAGAGGTAGGAGAGCACAAGGAGGGCAAGGAAACGTGGCCGAGCCCAGGCCCGACCCGAGCCTACTCCACAGCGGCTAGCGCTCCAAGAGAGCAGGCCGGGACCCCGAGGAAGGCTGTGCGACAGAGGAGACCACAGAAGAGAAGATATTACTTCTTAATTATTATTTTTAATAACTTTTTTTTTCTCTTTTCAAAAGAAAAAGTGTCTCCGGATTCTTTGAAAAAAATCTGGTAACCTTAAGCTATGAGAACTGCTAGAATTTATCTCCAGTGGCGCATGGTACCTAAAGTTAACATGGATCACACAGACAAGAGAACCCTGCATGCTGTTAATCCAACCTTTCCAGGTCCAAAGGACCACTAGACTCAGCAAACCAAGTGCAATGACGAGGAACCAAACTGGACGGCAGCCACAGAGACGTTTGGCTCTTGCGCTAACCTTTGTCAACAAAGAAGCTGACTACGGGGTCAGAGTGACTTTAGAGGGGATTTAAAAAATGCTTCTGTGTGCGATCTTGGCACATGGTTGCCAGTAAAGGAGAGAGGCATCCCTGGATGATGAGGAGATCTCATTTACCAATAAAGGAAACTTTAACTAGAAATTTTAGCAGGTGAAAGCATAATGATAAGCTGGCAGCAACATGCAGCAAGGACACTTGATCATAAAAGGTTTGCGTGATCTTTTTTTAAAAAATGGAATGTGCTTACAAGACAAGTGGGAAATAGTGAGAAACCTACAGGATCCCCTAAAATATATGAAGCAAACACAATGGGTAGAGTTTGGATCCCACCCCATACCATTTTTTTATTAGCAAAATTGATTGCTTCATTTTTAAAAAAAAAGCTTCTAAGTGGTTTATCTTATTAATTTATTGCTTCGCTTGGCTAAGAAGCCCGTCATTGCCTATCAGCCTAGCCTACTTCCCAGGGTTGTTGCAGGAATTAAATGAGGAAGGGGAAAACCCATGCACTCCACCTTGAGCTTCTTGGAGAAAAAGGGTAGGATATAAACACAAATAAAATTATAACAATATAGTAGCTGATCTGGAGGGAGTTTAACACGCAAAAGAACTTGGCTTTTATTTCCTACATTGCATTATGATGATTATGGCTTTATTGCTTTATTATTTCTGTTCTTGTACTGAGGATCATTATGTTCCTTTTTCTTGTCCTATTTTTATGGGTTCCTTATTTTTTTTGAAAACATACAATGCTTTCTAGCGCACAGTTGCTGGAGAACTTAAAGTGAAGGTTTCTGTTCTTATAGTCTATTTGTTTTTATTAGTGGTATTATTATCCCTTTTGGTCACATTAGGTCCCCTCTTTTATTTTATTATGTGGTCCCATTATTTATTTCTCCGCTGGTTCCCTCTTGAGCATCACATCTCTGTAAACTGTCCCAATGTTGAGTCCCTGGCTCTTGTTGCTTGTTCTGCTTTCCTCACTGGGTGTGATTTCAAACTCAGATTTGACAGAGGCACCAACTTTTGGCATCATAGTATTGTAGAGTTGGAAGGTGCCCCAAGGATCATCTAGTCCAACCCCCTGCAATGGAGGAATATGCAGGTGGCTCATGTGGGGATCAAACCCATGACCTTGGCATTACCAGCACCAGGCTCCAACCAACTGAGCTAACTGTGCTCCTCCTGTACAACCAAAGAGTCTTGTGGTGTCTTAAAGGCGAACCAGATCTATTGCAGCATGTGATTCTGCAGACCTGGAGCAAAGCATGGTCTCTACCACTGATCTCTGGCCTAGAGGAGGAGCAGATCTGACAATTTCAGTTTCTCATTTCCCCCCCCCCATTTGTCAGTTCTTCTCATTTCCACATCAGTTTGCAATTAATTTTTTAAAAGGACCTGAAAACTCATCAGCAAATCTCTCCTAGTATACACATTTGTTGGTGCAACTTTGCCTAACATGCACATTTTTGCAAAGCAATAGGATGCATTTTGTATGTCACTTTCACTCATATATGCATTGTGAGTGAAATTTTACCCTAGCATGTGTATTTCTGCATAAGTTACTTGGTTGCAGAAGTGCAATGCAAAATTCAGGGTGGCACGAATTTTGAAAGTTGGCTCTTCTGATGGCCATTTTGGTTGTGAATTAGGCAGGTTCGCCTTAAAAACCTAATAGACAGATAGACAGACAGACAGACAGACAGACAGACAGACAGACAGACATCTCCTATCCCTGCTCTGGACCACCCCCAAAACTCAACCTCTCCCCTTATCCCAAGTCCTTTGCAAACAGGGACCTCCCTTACATATCAGGGCCTGCCCTTTGCTCATTCAATTTGTCATGCTAGCTTTTAAGCACTTGGGGGCTCAGCCCACAGGGAGGGAATAACAGTTTGCAACTGAACTCTCTCCCACTGGCCCAGGAGGCAGTCAAGGGGAAAACACGACATGATTCCCAATCAATGGGCATTAGTGATGCTTTAGTGACCTGGAAAGCAGCAGAGGTGGTGGCCTCTGCAATGCAATAGCTCCCAAGGGAACCGGCACTCCCTGGCCTTGCCTGAAACCACCCCCATGGCTGCCATTGCCCCAAGGGCCAAATCTTTCCAGAGGAGTAGGGGAGGAAGAAGGGAACGGGGCATGGGATTTTTTCCCTCAAAAATGACTGTTTTCCTCACATTTCTCCTTCCTTCGCTTATTCTGTCTTCAGAAGCTTGGGTAAGGTTGGCAGACTCCAGGGTTCAGCACCAAGACTTGGGTTATGGCGTCCCCCATTCTCAGGGCTTCAGCGCACCTCAAGGGTAAATATCTCAGGGCAAGTCTCAAATGACCACCTTTGAACCTTGGTTCCAGGCGTTTCCCAGAGGTTTTATTTTAAAAGCACTGCTTTGAAGAAGAAAATATTCCTCGTTGTGAAAGAGAAAATACTCCTTCATTCTAAAAGAGAAAATATTGCTTGAGAGGGAGTTTCCCCAACGTTTTCTCGTAAGAAGTGCCTGTTGGATCAGGCCAACAGCTCATATAATCCTGTGTCCTGTTCTTGAAGTTGCCAGCCAGCAGAAGGAGCCCGTCTCATTTTGCCGCCTGAGGCAAAACAGCAAGGCGCCACTTCCTCTTCCATTGGAGCCCCACCTGCCTGCCCACCAAAGCCTCACTTACTGGGGTCTCCCAGCAGCAGCTTCCGGTGAGATCTCATGGAAGTCTCATGAGATTTTACTGGAAGCTGCTGCCTCCGCTTCTCCTTGCTTCTCTGGCAGTAGCAACAGGGACAGGCAGGGCACCCACAGAGGAGCTGCCTCACAGGAACCCACCACCAGAGGCAGCTGCCTCAACCCACCTTATGGGCAGGCTGGCCCTGCCAATCAGATGCCTGTGGGGAAACCTGAAAGCAGGATTCAAGCAGCAGAGCACTCTCCAATCCTGTGATCTCCAGCAGCTGGTATTCAGAAACATTACTGCCTCCAACCTTGGAGACAGAGCAGAGCCATATTCCATTTTGCATTTGTTAATGAAAGTAAAGAAAACTGAACATTTAAGGGAGCCTCAAGAAGTCAGTTGCTCACACACACACACACACACACAGTCTCACAGGGCATTCAAGTACAGTGGTACCTCGGGTTAAGAACTTAATTCGTTCTGGAGGTCTGCTCTTAACCTGAAACTTTTCTTAACCTGAGGTACCACTTTAGCTAATGGCACCACCGCACGATTTCTGTTCTCATCCTGAGGTAAAGTTCTTAACCTGAGGTACTATTTCTGGGTTAGTGGAGTCTGTAACCTGAAGCTTCTGTAACCTGAAGCGTCTGTAACTCGAGGTACCACTGTACAATTTTATTTTAAAAAAGAAAATCAGAGAAGGCACTTTGTAATGCTGAAACCTTGTGTCCCACACAGGTTTATTTTCCTGAGCAATGAGCAAGTCCCCTCTCATGGCAGCACACCCTTCTTCTTCTGTCTCCCCCCTTAAAAAAAAACAACCCTCTCCCTTCCCTCACACTCCATTGCCCTGATGAAGACGCACAGGGCAACAGTTGGGGAAGACGCATCTGGCGGACGGAAGCCAAGCCGATTCGTTCCAATCCCTGACCCCAATCCCAAGCAGGCGTTCAAAGAGAGAACGTGCCTGCTCAGTATTCCAGACAATAGCGCTCTCAGCAGGAGAGAGGCAGAGCTAACGTGGAGGCCAGGGAAGAGGATGAATTAACCATGGCTCTCCAGAATACATTACCACAAACAGGCTGGAACTTTGAGAAAGGACGGTGGCTCAAGCTAGCAGCATTTCCCCCTCCCCACAACACACACCCCATGGCATCTTTTGCTTTCAGCCGGTTGCAGCCCAGCTTTGATCTTCCAACCTACGTTTACACATCACTTATTGATCAATGGCTGTCAAATGGGGAAGGGCTGTAGCTCAGCGTGGCAGAGAACATCCTTTGCGTGGAGAAGGTCCCCGGTCCCATCCTCAACTTCTCCAGGTAAAGCGGGAAATGTCCCCTGTCCAAAGTCCTAAAATCATAACACTGTACAGTTGGAAGAGAACCCAAGAGTCCTCTAGTCCAATTCCCTGCCCCCACAATGCAGGAATTAATAATCCTTGACAGGCCATCCAACCTCTGTTTACAAACCTCCAAGGAAGGAGAGTCTACCACATTCTGGGGGGGGAGGGGTCTGTTCCACTGTCAAACGGCTCTTACCCACAGAAAGTTCTTTCTAATGTTTCGTGGGACTCCCCTTTCCTGTGATCTGAATCCATTAGTTTGGGTCCTACCCTCTGGAGCAGCAGAAAACAAGCTTGCTCCATCTTCCCTTCAGGTATTTGAAGATGGAGAACTGGTGCCACTCAGTGTACTAACACTAGGGATGGGGGAACAGGTGCCCTCCAGATGTCACTGACTCCAGCTCCCATCAGCCCCAGCCATCACAGCCAGCCATCAGGGGTGATGGGAGTTGGAGTCCAGCAGCAGCTGGAAGACCACAGGTTCCTCATCCCTGTACCAAGCTCTCCCTCTCTGGGGCATAGCAAAGAAGGCTTTGTGTCACTGTCTGGAGAAGGACCAAGGAACCTTTTCCAGCTCAAGGGGCACACTGCCTTCCGAGCAACCTTCCAGGGGCCACATGATGGTGGCGGGCGGAGCAATGCATGCACATGTTATTTTTGTACAGTAGTCTAGCTTCTACACGCACTGCTCTCTATCCAGGGAAGCAAGAAGATTCAAGGGACACTTTTCAGCTAAGCAAAGGCATCAAGGAGGGTATAAAGGAGGGCAAGTGGGAGTCGGCCCATGGAGAGTCCTAAGTGCCTGATTCGCACTCAGGCCTGAGGTCTCCCGGAACTGGTCTAGAGCTTCACTCTAACAGCATCAGTGTTCCTGTTCTGTAAAGATATGGGGCTTAGAAAAGAGAAAGTAAGTCGCAGTCATTTTGAGACCCCCGCCATGGCTGTGGGGTCCCAGGCTTGTGCCCCGTAGCTCACTGCTTGCTGTTTCCCTGCCACGGATGCCCAGAAAAGGTAGTGTTTGCACAGGGCAGAGCTGGCTGTGGATTCTTGATCTGTTCAGCCCTTGGAACATACTGTGGAACGGAAGCAGTTTTGCCCTACATGGATCTTCCTGCTCACCGTGTAAAAAGGTCCTCCCCTCAGGTGGGAAACAGCTCTGGCTTGTTCCAAGAGGTAACAAACATTATTCAAGGAGCACAATAATCAGAAGAAGCAGGAGAGGAGGATCCATTTGCAAATAAAATGACACAGTGGAAAAATATTCCCTTAAATGCTCCAACTTAATGCAGGGAAACCAGATAGTTGAGAGGCTTCTGACTTGTTGCACTAAACAAGGCATTTTCCACCAAGGTTGGCAGCTTGCAATCCTGACATGGGCCACCAAAACTTGAAGGAATTCACACAGAGTGATTAGACTGTTGAACTAGGACCTAGAAGACCAGGGTCCAGATCCCCATTGGTGAACACAGCTCACTGGGCAGTCCCAATCACGGCCTCATAGCCTAACCTACCTCAAAAGGGCTGTTATGGGGATGGGAGATGAAATACGATACGATATCTTTATTGTCATTGTCCCATACAGATCAATGAAATTAAAAAATCTACATAAGACATTCAAAACCCCCTAAAAACTCTGAAACCCCACTTTAAATAGCTGTGTACGTCCCCCTTGAGCTATTTCAGAAAGGATGGGATACACCTGCCTCGTGCTGCTGCCTTGGCCACCCTCCGAACAACGGCAAGGATGCAAATCCTTTTCATCCTCGTCTTTTTATGAGCCCATTATAAACAGACTATCGTGGATTATAGACGTGATTATCAGAGTTTAGTAACCTGGAAAAATATAAATATACATTCAGAGAAATGAACTCCAAGTCACTAACTCAGGAAAGCGTTGAGGCGGGGAGATGCACGCACACCGAGCGGAGGAATGTCAACCGCAGCTCCATCCTCAGGGCTGCTCATGAATATTTTTCGATCATGCTGGGATCTAGATCCAGTGGAGAGCCCCTCTTCCCTCTAGCTACCATGGCAGAAGCTGTCAGAGGGAGACAAATAAGCAGTACCTCAGACTTCCGGTTTGCTGAGGAGGTAATGGCGGCAAGCTCTGTGTCGTCCGCTTAAAGGACGGCATGGTTCTGGCAGCTAGAGCCTTGGGGGTGAGCGCCAGGGCTAGGCACCCCCCCAAAAAACTCCCCGTGGAGGAGGCTGGCCTGAATCCTTGGTTGGGTGGGTGTTGTTGGCCGCTGCTGAGCTGCACTTCCCCCTCTTTGGAGCACAGAAGAGGTCAAGTAAAACAGCTGGCCTTGTCTGGTTTCTTTGGCTGGAAGGTGAGATATGTGCCCTTGACAGACCATCTTCATTCCTTGAAAGTCCTTTATTCCTTTATGTTCAAAGCAGTAGCTTGGGATTTTGGTTTTTTGAATCTAGGATTAATGAAGCCAACTTGGAGCTGTTGTGATTGCCCATGCTAGTTTATTCTCAAAGAGCCTGCAGCATGCAGAACTACTCCTGCTCCTGGAACTGCTCAGGCTGCTATGTACCCTTGTTGAGTCAGTCAGTGTAAGCACTGGAGCTGGGGTCCTCAACGTGACCACCATGAGGCCCTCATATGGGGAAGGACCATAGCTCAGTGGCAGAGCATCTGCCTTGCAAACAGAAGGTCCCAGGTTCAATCCCAATCATCTCCAGATGGGGCTGGGAGAGACTCCTGATTGAAATCAGTTGCCAGTCAGTGTAGACAATACTGAGCTACATTAGGGTTGCCATACATCCTGAATTTCCTGGACATAGCTGGGATTCAGCCGTCAGAAACAGTATTCAGGCGGAAACCACCTAAATGTCCTAAATGCTCAACATCTTTTGTGTCCGGATTTTCAGTTTTTGGAATGTGGCAACCCTAAACATCGACCAATGGTCTGACCTGGTATGAAGCAACTTCTTATGTTCTTCCTATGTCCTTCCTATATGAAGGACTTTGGAGCCCTAAGTAGAACAGCTGATGGGCAGGAATGGAATGGAATTGTAGTCATTTGTGGGCCTAATTCAATGTGCTCACATTCATGTTTAAAGTCCTTAAATGATGTAGGCCCCAAATGTCTAAAAGACTGCCTCACTCCCTACAGACCCTCCCAGGTACAAATAGAAGCAGACAGGGCCCTCGTAGTAGTCCCTCAGCACTCAGAGGTGGTGAGGAGGGGTTGGCCCGGGACAGAGCCTTCTCGGTAGTGGCCCCTCAGTTATGGAACTCCCTCCCCACTATACACAATGTCAAGTAGGGCAAGTAGGCATGGCTAGACTGAAAAGGCCTGGTGGACCAAATGGGAAGGCTGCTTAGGCATACCTAAGCACTTAAAAGATTTTGGTGCCCCCCTATGTATCTAATTAAAAATATAAACAAACAATAATAGGCCGTAAAATAATTTATTTATTTTTTGAAATGAAACAAAACCTACTATATGATGGAAAATAATGTTTCTTTTTGTGTATTGTAATTCAACTTGATTTATATCGGGGGGGGGGGGTTCCTACTTTTTCTAATTAAAAAGTCTTTTATCAGATCCTCAAAACTAATATTATGTAACACGTCTCCTTCTATACCTAGCAGAGATGAGACATCCAGCCTGCCTTGTTGCATAGTTGTTCTACTGGGATTTTTTAATATACTTCAACTGAGAAAATGAATGCTCAGCTGAGCAATTTGTGACCATTAATGTTAAAAACCTGGCAACGGAAAATTCCTGTGGTGGCCCTCTTCCCTTGATGACCTAAGCATGTGCTGATGTTGCTTAATGGCTAATCCAGCCCTGTTCCCATGGGTGGTTTATATACAAAAATAAAATAAAATAAACAGTAAGAGATCAAAAAGTAAAATTAAGAGACCCACATAAAGCCAATGAACCTGACTGCAAGCACCATTCCCCATCCCACAATTATCCAACCAACCCTCCAGCTGCCACATTACAACTTTCTGGTGGGAAGTGTCCAACTTTTAACTCTGTTACATTGGTCATCTCCGTCTCCCTCACTAACTCTCTCCCTCCCTCCCTCCCTCCCTCCTCTCTAGTTGAATATCAGGTTGTCTGTTGCTGGAAGGCCTGGCTATTTCATTTTACAGCAATCCATCATTCCCCAGCAGCACACTTTGGTATTATGGGTTATTTATTTATTTAGATTGCTACCAGGTCCCCATTCATAAATTTTAACACGGTTAGCCTGCTGTTGAAACCAATTAAAGCTACAAGTTGCAGCAAGTGCATAAAGGTGGGCTGAGATCAGGGGCAGAAGCTGCTTTGCCCTAAAAGCAAAATAAGCTCCTATACTGAGTCAGACCCACTGGTCCATCAAGCTCAGTACTGTCTGCACAGACTTGCAGCAGCTCTCCAGGATTTCAAGCAAGGGACGTTCCCAGCCCTACCCAGAGATGCCAGAGACTTCTGCATACAAAGCAGATTCTCTCCCACTGAATTACGGTCAGTCCCTAAGCTTTCCTAACACCAGGTGAGTTTGGGGATGGAATGGAGATAGGAAACCAAGCAAAGTTTAGCATTGCACTGCTCTAGCCTAACTGCTTGTGAGCAGTGTCAGATACTCATATAAGCTAGGTGCCAAATGGCTCCTTAAACCAGGCTTGCAGTCGCCAAAAGCGGAATGTCTAGTTGACATTTTGGGGCCAGACGGCTCTGAAGACGCATTTTTCAATATGACTTTTTGGGTCCTGAAATTCATTCTGATGGTACAGATAAAATTCAACAGATGATAGAATTCTGCAGGATGTGTGGCTAGTGTTTGAAAACAGTCAAGATCCAAGGATCCCAAGGCATGCACCTCCAGATGGTGGAGATGTCAGGCACCATCCTGGTGCCCGGCCATCTTCACTTGGCCACAGGTGGCCGATAGCCAGGTGCTAAATTTCAAATGCTGCTTGTGAGCTTCCTGAGGTGCCTGGCTAGCTGGAGACAATTTGCTGGGTTGGATGTGCCCCAGATCCAGCAAAGCATTTTTCTATCCTGTCCTTGAAGTGATGATGTGGGTGTTACATAGGCTGGATCTACACTGACTGTAAGGTAAAGGTAAAGGGACCCCTGACCATTAGGTCCAGTCATGACCGACTCTGGGGTTGCGGCGCTCATCTCACTTTATTGGCCAAGGGAGCCGGCGTACAGCTTCCGGGTCATGTGGCCAGCATGACTAAGCTGCTTCTGGTGAACCAGAGCAGTGCACGGAAACACTGTTTACCTTCCCTCCAGAGCGGTACCTATTTATCTACTTGCACTTTGATGTGCTTTCAAACTGCTAGGTTGGCAGGAGCAGGGACCGAGCAATGGGAGCTCACCCCGTCGCGGGGATTCGAATCGCCGACCTTCTGATCAGCAAGTCCTAGGCTCTGTGGTTTAACCCACAGCACCACCCACGTCCCTCTACTGACTGTAGAAACACTAAAAAGAAAAAACCTGTTATATAGCTCTCAATGCAATTTTACATTGATGATTTTATACTACTCTACAGCGCCCTCTGGTGTCACATGTTTATAATGTATTTATAACGTTTTAACTGACCTGTATAGATTAGTCCACAGTGGAGACACGTCTATTAGGCTGAGTGGGACACTGCCCCACTAACCAACCAACATCTGCCTGTCTTCCGACTTACAGCCAGTCCAGAGGGGTGGGACGGCCTATCTGCTTCTTTCTCCTTAGTCCCATTGTTGCCTTTGTAGATTGTAGTAGGGAGGAGGAGAAGGACAAAACTAGCTGGCTGCCCCTACTGCTGTGCTCTCTGTCTTTGCCTCACCTCTTATTTTCCTACTCATATTGAAATACTGCCCCTCAATGAGGCCAAACTTGAATTCACAAAATGTGAATCCCCCCCCCCCCCCGAAAAAAGCACTGCTTACATCCATCTGTGATACACTGAAGCCTATGGATTCAATAATAATTTGAAGAGGGTCTCATATGGAGGATTTCCCACTGAAGGGCAAGTTCTGGACTGGTCCAGGGGCTCCTCTGCAAAAGCATCCTCTTCTGCCTCGATGGGTTTCAGGAGGCAGGGGTGGCTGGCAGCCCAGCAATCAGCGCAGGTCAGATTGGGACGGCCACAATGCCTGCAGCACACCATTGCCCTGGGGCATTGTGGGAAATTCAAAAGGCAGTTCCCAGCCAGCTGACACAGTTAATCCAGGACAGGCCTCAGCAGAGCGGGATACCAAGTGCTGGTGCCCATCCAGATTCCTGGATCCGAAAAAGAGGAAGGTGAGTGGAAACCTGGCCCACAACAACCCGGTGGCGGCAACTGCTTATTCTGCTGGAATTTATTCACTCTCTGGAAGACTCCGGTGGGTCATTTTGAGGAGCAGAAGGGAGCGAAAACAACTTCAGGCTGTTAGGCTTGGCAGAGGAGTAGAGAGTTGATCAGGGCGCTCCCTTCTCCACACCGACCCCCTGCGGACTTCATTTGCATCCCCCCGGGTTCGAAAACAAGACTTCTGCATTCCCTGCTCACTTGACTAAGTGCATTTTAAAAGCAACAGACCAGAAGTAGAAGAAAGGCGAAGAAGCCGTTATTCTGTTCACAGAGACGATCATAATTAATACATGAATGAAATCTCAGCAGGCTTCCTAATTACAGCACCCACCATTCTGGCTACATCTGGAAAGGTGGCTGACCCGATTAATATTCAAGCTGCTGCCAGGGCTCCACAGCCCACTCAGGATGCCTTAGGATGCTTGAGGACACCCCGTCACTTAACCCTCCCTCCCTCCATCCCATAGCTTTCTCCTTCCATTCCATCTCTCCGGCGAGGTCACTTGGCTCTTTGCATGAGGCTCTCTGTCTCAGAATCCCTTCCTAGTGGAGGGGGTTGCAGATTCTCTCTCCTCACCCACATTGTTTAAGGAACAAAGAAGAAGCCTCCTTGTGTTCTCCAGTGATGGTCCAATTAGAACCAAAGGATCAAGGGAAGTTCATTCAAACAGGAACAACAGGGCGTTCCATCACGAGGGGATGCAAAAGTTGGAGACAACCTTGGAAGCGCAGCCAAGAGGGAGTAACGGCCACCTGCTGATCGTAAGGTTTAGTTGAATGTCGTTCACATAAAAATGCCCTGCTGTCTTTAAAATACATGGGGGTTTTTTAAAAAAATGTATCTGCAGAGTGCTTTGCAATCTGCACCTTGTTCGTTCCTCACAACCCTGCCATGTAGGACTTTGCTATTCCTGTTTTACACAGAAGTGTGAAACTAATACAGTGGTACTTTGGGATGCAAACGGGATCCGTTCTGGAGCCCCGTTCATATCTTGACCAGAACGTAAGACGTGACTGTGCGTCTGCGGGTCGCGTTTCACCGCTTCCACGCATGCGCGTGATGTCATTTTGACTGACTGCGCATGCGCGAGTGGTGAAACCTGGAAGTAACGCGCTTCCAGGTCGCTGTGGAGCGCAACCCAAAAATACTTATCCTGAAGCGTATTTATCCACAGGTATGACTGTAATTAAATTGGCTGTGTAGATGTCAAACACTAAAAGCACACATGCAAAGAATTCTGGGAACTGTAGTTTACTCCCTCACAGAGCTACAATTCCCAGCGCCCTTAACAACTTACAGTTGAGAGGATTTCTGTGGGGGTATATGCAGCCCTACTCCAGGCCAAAAGCAAGGCAGTCTTTTGTGCAAACATGAGGGATTAAGCAG